TGACGGCGTCGAACTTGTGCGAGGCGCCTCACTATTTTAGCCGTAAGTGCCCATGACTGTGATAATCTGTGGCCTTCGTTTTGTGTTGCAATATTTTGAACAGATAGCTGGTTTTAAGAGCCTGTATTTTTTGTTATATCATCTTTATTTTGAGTTTATTATTAAAATCAACCTCTTACCAAGAACACCTGGTCTCGTGTTGCTTCCCTTTTACCCTAAGCGAGCTGGGGACGTAACAGCCTGTATATCAGCATTTGTATGAGTATTGCTTAGACCCCGGTGATTAGCACCTGTTGATCAGCAACAGCTGTGTTCCCACACAGCCTCATTTTGTTTAGTGTTTTGTTCCACTTTAGAAGTGAGGTACTTTTCTTTCCTTTTGTATCATACTGTGCAACTCTCTTTTGGAGTTCTCCTTTTGTTAAATAGTAACAGTTTGGCCCTTTGTTTGTGTACATTATTGTGTCCATTTTTGGTTTACAGATAAACCACCGGTAACATATACCAATTCCAATCTGGTCGTGTCATGTCCCTTTGGTCCCCTAGCCCAATAGGGAACGTAACAGAGACGAACAGCTTTTACCTGATACATACTCAAAAGTTGACCCGGCAATAGTTAGGAAATTACACACTTCAATCAAATCATCCCTTGTCAGTGTGTACAGTTTACCACCAACTTCTAGCTTCAAGTCTTCTAGCGCTAAGGAGTCCATTTCAATCTCTTTTCCTGTGGACATAGTCAGTGTAATGTAGAACCTTCACTTTGCAGATGAGACAGCGTAACTCTCCTGGCACCCGTAGTTGACCTCAGATTGTATACAAGTCCCTCTCCGTAGCTATTGAACCACCACACGTCGTCGTCCACCCTAGTTGTAGTGAAGATGGGTTGAATGATGATCGGGGACATCTATCTGGAACAGCTGGCCCCGTCACATTCGTCCCGGACGAGCCCCCAAATGTTACGCTCCTGATAAAAGGGAAGAATTTTGACAAGAGTCAAAGTTAGGTTTCATTCTCCGATACTTTACTCGAGTCAGTCAACAAATGCAACACCTTACTGTATTTCTATCATGAGGCTCCTTAATTACCACAATATCATTGATAAGATAATATAATTGACAACATACCAGAACCCTCACAGAATTATTTAACTAAAATATAAAGACAACATATTCATACCTGCCAACCCTACCGATTTGGGCGGCAGTCTACCGCTTTTGATATGTTTCTACCGCCTACCGACTTAGCTGGCTTTCCCTACCGATTTTCAATCTTCCCAAACTATAACAAATAAAAATGACACTACATAGACACTGAACTCGACTTTTGGCGGACAGCGTTTGCAGCGTGTCTGTGATCCCATCATACAAACAGTCCTCTGTGTTTCTGAAAGAGAAACAACGTGCAGACCGGGGGTAACGCTGCCTTTCTTCTGCACCCTGACGGGTAATCACTCCCAAATGAGTGAGGGAACAGAGACGAGGAATTTGAGTCCTGCAGGATTTCCCCATTAGTATCAGTGTCTCAAAAACACATGTTGGCGACTGAAAGACATCCAGTGTTTGGTCTTTTCCTGAAGCATCCTTCACCTACAGTGTCTCAACTGAAAGAGGACCACAAACACACACAAAATATAATACCATTTTGAGATTTGGGGATATTTATCTCCCATTCTTTCACTTTTTCTGACATTTTCTACACCAAACATGTCATTAATATCTCTGTTTAGTGAACTACAGCAATCTGAAAGCCTGTACATTATTTATATCACACTTTATCAGTAGAAACATGCAGGAAATGACTTTTTTAATGCAGTATTTTATGATTTATGGCGCAACACAAAGATATTTCGCTCTGTGCAAACCTTTGAATATGTCAACAACATGAAACAAGAATATGAACCTGGCTTTATCCAATGTTCACACAAGAGTTCTACATCCTGACACATCCTTCATCTACACTGTCTCAACTGAAAGAGGACCAGAAACATTCTAAAAATATAATAACATGTGGAGACTTTGGGATATTTATCTCCCATTCTTTTACTTTTCGGGTATTTTACAGACCAGACATGTTGTTGTCACTGTTTACCAAACTACCACTTTTTCTGAAAAATGCATAAAATGATGCAATATATGTTAAATACATGGTTTATGTACATGTAATTACTGGGTACCATTTCTTCTGATTACCTCATTTGGGCGTGCACATTTACCGCACGCAAACCTACCTCTTTTGGATTTGGAAAGGTTGGCATGTATGCATATTACATATAACTGTGTGCATACACAATACACAAGATGGCGGCAAATGCAACACCTTTCAATAGCACATACAACTTGGCTATTAACACTGTATTTCAATCATGAGACTCCTTAATTACCACAATATCATTGATAATATAATTGACAACATAGCAGAACCCTCACAGAATTATTTAACTAAAATATTAAGACAACATATTACATATAACTGTGTGCATACACAATACACAAGATGGCGGCAAGCGCACGCTACGCAGTATTTGTTTATGTAACCATGTAGACCAGGGATTTGCAACTTTGATGGTGGTGGGGGCCACATAATTGATGTACTGGCCACCAGGGGGCCGCAGATTCACTTGGAACACACACACAATAATTCCATGTGTTGTATGTAATTATTAACAAATATACTACGTCTGACATCTTCATTGATATTTTACAATCTTTCAGGGAACATCCTCTAATAAGCTCACGAAACAAATATCAGTTCACAGAAATGTTATTACATTTTTACAAGTGGCATGTTTGTATTGAACAGGTTACAGTGGAATAAAACTATTTTAAACTATTGGAAAGCACGAAAAATGTGTGTGCATTGAGATTAACCATTAAGATGACATACACACACATTAGTTGTCTAACTTGAACCTAAAACACTTGTAGCCAGTCTCTGCATTCCCCTTATTCCACAATAAGGGGAATGTCAACACAGACACCTGTCAGCCTGCACTCTGCTGTTCCTCAGCGCCACTCCCCCTCCCTCCCGCTGAAATTATGAATGAAAAGCGTATAGTAATCATAGATAACACGGCAGGGTCTGTGACAGTTTGTTTTCATCTGATTTCAAATAAACAAAGTCTTGGTTTTTAGAATATAAAGTTGTTTCGCCAAATTCAGATGATAAAAACAACTTTTAAGCTTGTAAAGGCATAATTACAAGCGGCAACTTAACGTCACAGCAGGCATAACAACAGCCGGTGTTTCTTGTGAGGGTTTCCCCGGGAAACAAACACAATACACACAAACGCGTCACAGATTATTTCGCGGTATTTGAAATCATGTACGCAGCTCGCGACGTAACTAGGAGTCTAGTGGACGGCATCAGTACTACAAGTAAAACAAATAAAAATAATTATTTTTTTTATTATTAATTACGTTGTTTATAAATTAATCTGAGGGCCGCAAAAAGAGGAGGTGGGGGCCGCATTCGGACCCCCGGGCTGCCCTTTGCCCATCCCTGATGTAGACGTTACTACACACATTCTCGGCTATCACACACATCAGCCCAGCTGATAAAACGTAATAATAACACACTCAATATTTCACACAACCGCTTTAAAACACTCCTTGCACATGTTATGTTATAGTTTGGCCAAATTTGTTATGGTTTTGTACTATCTACATACCTGATAAAAGAGAAGAATTTTGACAAGAGTCAAAGTCAGGTTTTATTCTCCGATACTTTACTCGAGTGAGGAAAGTACCGTGAAACCCCCCAGATATGTGGGCGGAGACAAGAGCAATCGATCTCCGTCTCCCAGATCAAGGCCATCTAGTCGATTGATTGATTGAAAAGTTTATTAACAGCTTGTATATTGGGTACAGTACAGTACAGCTCAAAACATACAATTGTTAAGGGGATGCAGACCAGAGAAAGACTTTCGTCTTGTTTACATCAGGGTCCTCCATTTCCAATTCATCACAATCGATCACAGTTTAACAGATCACACGTCTCCAAAACGAACACAAACAAGCGCAGACAGAATACCTTCTCATCCTTTCCAAACATCCTACAATTAAACTACATTAACAAAGGTCAAAGGTAACAGTTAAAATACTGTCAATGTTACGAAAACAATCTATTACACATATCTTAAAGGTGGTAAAAAGGGAGGTGACAAAAGGGAATGGCATTATCCTGCTCAGCAAAAGTACTTTCAGTCATTTTAGGATTCGTGGGACATTCAATACATCAATTGTGTTTTTTATCTCTAAATGGATTACCAACATCAGCACATTCCATTAATCCCAATGAATTAATTGCCTTCAGTTTTTTTTTTTTGTTGGCACCACTGCAGCAGATGGTTTTGTAATCTGGCCTGAGATTAATACACTGGGGACACAGATAATCTCCTCACATTCATTGTGGTGGAGCATCGCACACAACGCAGGGATTCAACACAGCCCCCCCGGACCCCCCAAGTCCAGCCGATTCATCTGCCTTTTAGTGCCTCTGCCATGATATCTATTTAGATCAAGACCCATGATTTATTTATTCTTGCTAAGGTTATGGCACTCCACTATAGTTTAACTTTTACGTTCAAACAACAAATACTTAATGTTACTCACGTAGTTATCATCCTTATTAAATTATTTACTTACATACAGTTGTCCTCGGAAATAACTCATTGATTTTCTCACAAAATGTCATTAAGCCTAAGGATGAGGGGCTTGCAGTTTAAGCAAAACCGCTGCAAAAGGGTTAATAGGCCTCCCAGATGTTGACCCCTAAAGTGTTTGTCACCTGTTGTGTTTAATCCTTTGCTTATACCTCCTTCAAATAGGTGGCATAGTGTGATTGGTTATCCCTTTAATCTTCAAGACAGCTGTCAGGATTTACTAGTGATAACCATAAGCCTATTTGGCACCTTGAGAGTGCTGCCAGGGAGAATATGAGGCAGAGTGATTCCAAATAAATGCTGAGAGGTTTTGACCCCAAACACAGGAGGACAATAATACATTTGTGAAGTCTGTTTGCAGGATGGGGAATACTAAGAGCAGCGCGTTGTCAAAAGAGCTCCTGGAGGAACTGAAATCCAACACGAAATACTCAGAGGCCGAGCTCTGCACCTGGTACCAGACCTTCCTGAAGGAGTGCCCCGGCGGGAAGATCAGCAAGCAGCAGTTTGAAGGCATCTACGCCAGCTTCTTCCCCAATGCAGACCCATCGAAATATGCACAGCACGTTTTCAGGAGTTTCGACACCAACGCAGACGGCACTTTGGACTTTAAAGAGTACATTGTTGCTCTGCATCTCACGTCAGGGGGGAAGACGCTGCAGAAGCTGGAATGGGCCTTTGCTCTGTACGACGTTGACGGGAATGGAAACATCAACAAAAGTGAAATCCTGGAGATTGTTAGGGTATATATACCTTCTTCTTTCATTGTGATGCTGTAACAAAATAGTACATTTGATTTTATCCCTGAGTCTATTTTCAAAAGCCAGCTACATCTTTCACGCATACATGTTGTTAAAAAGATTATATATTAGTATATTTTTTTTCTGTTGGCAGATCATTTATCACCCAATGTATTGCAATTAACACCTTTAATCTCTTGATGAATCCATAATGTTGAGGACTTGGTTTCATAGTTTGAAATCCTTATTTTAGTGTAATTGTTTAACTGCCATACTTTTCTCTTTTTAAATTTGCTGTTGACCAACAGCCAAAAAATAACAAAATAATAAATTCACAGTTACATAAAGTAAAGAAAAGCAGTAGGACGTTATATTTGAAAAGCTAAAACAAGCAAATGTTTGATGAATTATTGATTTTCAAAATATTTCAGCACTAATCCATTCTAAAGAACACAGGTTAAAAATATTATTTGATGATGAAATTGAGCATGCACGATTAAAAACATGTAATTAAATGACTCTCATGCAGTCAATATTCAACATGATTCCTGCTGAAGACCAGAAGGTCCTCCCCGAGGATGAAGATTCACCAGAGAAGAGGGCGGACAAGATCTGGCAATTCTTTGGGAAGAAAGAAAACGGTAACAATTCTTTAGCTCCCTTTAACAGTTTTTGTTATACAATGAAACACATCCACGTTTTGCTGCTGTTCTATTTGTACTGTTTTTCGTCTTTTTCCAGATAAAATCTCAGAAGGAGAATTCATTCACGGTGTGATGGACAACAAAGATATCCTGCGATTGATACAATATGATGAGCCTCAGAAAATTAAAGACAAGCTGGCGGAGAAAAAGCAATAATATATATTGTTTAAAGCCCCCTCATGTGATTTTAAGTTTTTTCTTTTTCCGTTTACATTTAACATGATATGACTGCTTGCCTGCTTGTGTTACTCACTGTCTCTCCCTCTGCGTCTCTCACTGTTTTATTTTTTATTATTTCATTAATTTCTTTGGGTCTTTACCAGCCTGGTAGTGTTGTATTTCATATTTTTTCCCAGTAAGAAATTAAATAATTGTATTTAATACCAAACAACAGAAGCTAAAAAACTGTTGAAATGGCCATTTATGCCATGGGCTTCTAAACTTTGTGCAGTTAAAACTGGATTTGTGATAAACATGCACTCACTAATAGTGATACACTGTCTCTCACAAAGCCAAAATACAGTAACTTACAATTACGAGATCATACTATTGAGTCTATCATTTTTGGGACAACGTCATGAAAAGAACTAAAGAAAGTTACACTTAATAGGCCTAAATGGCTAGCTAGCAGTTTAGCAGCAACTGCCGCCCCCGCAACTTCCTGATTTACCCACTTTAATAAATGAGTTTGTTATACCACATCATTCATACACCAGCTTTATCTTAACTGAAATGTAGGGTAAAAGGGTATACCAGTTAAGCTAGTTTGACTAAATGCCACTTCTAGCTAGCGGACTAGCAGTGCGTTCCATCAGTCAGAAGAAGATAGAGCCTCTGACTGGTGGAAAACATGTGATTTCATGTGGTTATACTACATTTAAAATACCACTTTTGTGTAAAATGAAACATGAATGTATTACTAACATTGAAAAGCAAGCAAAGTAAAAACAGAAGTACTTAATGGAGAGAAGAAAATAACACTAATAAACTAGTCAAGCTAAATGCTAATTAGCTAAGCTAGAAGTTACTGTTGGTAAACTACTGGTTAAACTCAACTATAGTTAAATCTTATTTGTGTTTATTTCAATACGAGTTAGTTATTATCAAAAAAAATAAACAAGAGAAATAAAAAGCAGAAAAACATCAAATAACACATTTTGTGTGCAAGTAGGCTTCTGTGGTTTCCCTTAGAAATTGGACAATGACACTTATCAGCAATCAGCATAAAAGGGATACAATTTCACAACTCTTTTAGGCTAACTGTTGCCCACTTTGGCTACATTTTCACTTCACCGTTGCTGCTCTGTAAGGTATGGGCCTCTGTATATCCTGAGTTGACCTCCATGCGAGCCAATTTACTCTCTCATGTCTGGCAGTGTAACAGAGCTTGGATTCATTCATTAGTTTGATGGCAAGAAAAGCCAGGGCAAGAGCTCCTTATAAGAGGAATTAGGCTCAGGTTAACAATCTGCCGGTGTCAGCCAATCCTATTAGGAGCTGAAGGTCAGTTGAGACTAACAACCTCCTTACTTTAAGTGTGTATGTACTGTGGGTGAAGAATACATAGCTGGTTATCATTTTACTTTAGTATACATATGTAAAGAAAATGGATATGTCAGTGAAAGAGATTAGACAATATATTCTGATGCGGAGTACGTTCATCCTGGAATGTGCTATGAGAACAGCTTTTTAAAAAATTGGCCTATCAGATAGATGGATTATCGTGAATAACAAGAATAGAATAACAATTCCTCTGCTTTCTTTTATTACGTAGTTTATGTTTCATGTAATTTTTGTAGCATATTTTTTACTTAAAGTGGAGTTTTCTAATGCTTTGTGTGTATCTCTGAAGCCCACAAACCGTTGAATGTATGTCACTGTTGAATAAACATTTGCAAAACTGACTTTTAAGGGACTGTGTGTAAAGTATTCGGGGCAGGGGACAGAAAGGGGGAGGGTAATGTATATATTTTTTAGAGCCCTTAATTATAAACATATAATGTTAATCAAGTTAAAAGGCAACTTTGCAAGTCGGGAAACATTCACAAACACCTTGTAGAACTTGATGCTAGCTTTTAAATCTCCTTTCAGGCAGCTAGAGAGTATTTCACCTCTTTTTAAAACATCTTCCCTTGTTCTGGAAGAACAAAGTGATATAGACCCCAGTAAGTAACACCTACTGGTGTTGGTGACGCATATTGGTTCACGGAGAGAGGATTGTCGTAGTACATCCGACTTGTCTAGCTTGCAAAAGTATAAAACTAAAGATTAGTCTTAAAATCTTGCTTTGACCCCGCCGCCTAATAATAAAAGGTGTCATTATGATGACAAACACATACAGTATATTGACACATGTATATATTTTAGTAAGCTTCGTTGTAGCTACAGTACTTTCTCGTATCTACTTACAGTACAACTGCTGGGTCATGCTGTCATGCATGTAGTCTGCATCAGACATTAAATCAACAAAAGTGTGTAATTAATAACAACAGAATAGGACAAAAACATATTTGTCATACATATTTCTTTTAGAAATGTGGTCCTGTTAAGGACACCCATAGCCTGTAAATTATGGATTTAATATCTGTGATGCTATATGAAGAACACCCACCTGTCACCCAATGTGGCTATGCTATAGTGAAGCCACATTTTTAAGCCTTCATTCAATCAAAACGGATGAGTAATTTTACATTTCACCCTACTTACAGAATAGGGACATTATTTTACCTTTTAAAAGTCGACTGCAGTTGTTGGCCTTTCCGCGTAGGCTTCATTGAGGTTACTGCTTAGAGACACCTTTTCTATAGTTCCTAGTTTAAAAAAAGTTGCATTCAAATCATTTTAGTATACAATTTGAGTGCATAAAGTAGATCATTTTCATCAGGAATATAGTGGTTTGCGTAAGAGAAGCCTAGCTTTGCATCATCTTGTTCCAAAGCCTGTTTTGGCTTTGGTTAATACCTGGCAGAATGCAAACTTCACCGTTGTCATCTACCTGTCTCACTCTCCCTTCCAATCTTTACTGGATTGGATCCAATGGCATTTAGTGAGCTGACCTGAAGATCAAAAGGTACAACTGATGAAACCATGAAAAATGATTCTAACTCAAACGACATTTACATAATAACACACCGTGATATTACATTTTCGAAGAGGGGATTTATTTTGGACAATGCATTCCACAGTACACCGTCTGGACAGAGGTCACCTATGATCAAACATTCAACAGGAACATCGGATTTGAATGCACGTTATGGAAATGTTAATCACACAAGGGCAGTAAACTCAACCGTTACGTCATCATGAAACTGTTGAACATTTAATTGGAACATAATAACTTGTTACACTTAGTGTACAACATTGACACACACTGATAAAACCTCTACAACAGATGTGCTATTTAAACCTGCGCATGAAGCCTTTTGGGTTTAAGACAAAGTAACCATGACTTTCCTTCATTTCCGAAAAAAAAAATGAATGCACTAAGGCATTAATAATGGTGATAAGGCAGGTAAGTTTTTATATATATATTCATTTGTTTTAATAGCATATATTTTTATTGTGCCTGGCAGCTGGATTAGAATTAGGACTTTCATCTTAATTTGAATAGCTTCATGCTTTTGAGATATTAAAAGAATTATCCAAATAAATTCTGAGCAGATAGACAACAACAATGTAGAGACGAAGACAGACACACATGTAAACACAGACACATACTTCATGCAGTTTCTGATTAAATGGGTTTTCATTTAGGATAATCTGTATCCCAAATCCACTAACCTGTTTCATCTATTGACTGAAAGTGTATTAGGGCTATTGTGGGTTAACAAATATTTTAACAGTGACTTAGAGGAGGGTTATATTCACAGACAAAATAAATATATACATTTAAGTTGAACACCAACAAGAAACAACCTGGATATTTTCTGAGATCTATGTTTTACATTTTGGAGTAAAACCCGAAAATGTAGGAGAACATGTTTTCTCTAAGATTAATAAATGATACTTTTGCGAGAAAACATTTAAAATGTATTCCCGTAAATGTGTGAAATAAAATCTCATATTGCTTATAAATGTATTGTGTTTTTGAGATATGAGAGAAATACAATTGAATAATTCTCTGAGATAATAAGGTTATAACAAGAATATAATCAGATAAAAGTAACTTTATGATCTCATATCCAAGTTGCTCCCAGACAATTTAAATTCAAAAATTCTGATTTTCTTTCTCTGAAAATACCCTCCATCCAAGCTGCAAAATAACAATATTTTTTGTTTACCTACAAGGGCCTTAACACACTGTCTTTTTTCAGAGGGGTTATTTAATTGATCTTTGCTATTTGTCATCAACCACCATCGTATAGATAATCTCTGTACATTTACTAAAAATAAAACAAACAACATTGTACAGTACAAACACCTCACTGGCCTCAAAGCTCATTTGGGCCTGTTAAACATCTGACAGCAAAATACATCTAACCTTTATGTACAAATGTACACTGATGCAGTAGAATATGTCAAGGACATTCCAGGTATATAACCGTTAGGCACTAAAAGGTGTTTCAGTGTAACTTGGACCACCTTTTTCCTCCGGACTGATCCATAATTAGGGTTGCAAAATTCGGGAATTTTCAAAGATGGAAACTTTCTATGGGAATAAACGGGAATTTATGGGAATAAACTGGGAATTTTCAAAATTGAAGGTTGGCTCTTCATAGGGAACTTAAATATAGTATATTTTAGCATAATCTTGACTAAAACAAACAGATGCCATTCAAGTACACTTGAATATCCATGCCATAGCACACTGCTTACTGCATGGCTATTGAGACCACACAAAGGTTCGCAACAGGCTCACAAATGTGAGAGTGGAAAAACTGGTTGGCATTCGGGCAAACCTAAGGCTCTTTGAGCTGGACGGACACAGAGCCATCCTCAACAAGGCTGGACAGTGACACTGAAGAGGAAGAGGAAGAGTTGGATGTTGATGAGGCCCAGGAAGAGCCTGTTGACTGAAAGGGTTTAGCAAAAATGCAGAGAATCGCTTGAAGGAAGATTTGCATGTTTAATGGGAGTTTTTGGAGGGAGAAGGGCTCTTTTTATTAAACATTTTGAATGGGACTTTGTGGGGATTTTTGGATGGGGGGTGCATTTTTGTTCATTTTTTAATGAGGGGTTGGGGGGATGAGTAACATTTAACTCAACATTCCTGTTTTCGTTCTTCAATTAAACAAGTAATTGTTCAATAAAATAATTAAAACTTGTTCTGTTCTACTTAAAAAAAAAATGTTTTAAAAAGAAAATCTGTTGAAATGTCATGTTTTTTTGTTTAATTTTGCATCGAATATTTCCAAAATTCCCCAGCTTAACTTCCCATGGAAACTTTCCGCCCCTTTGCAACCCTATCCATAATAGACCCTGGCCTAAATCTGTGTTTTAAAATTAAAGCATAATCCAAACCACATTCCTAAATACTGTATGTGTGTGGAGTTTTATTCTTTAAACAGTTGAGGTTACTGGATATTAACGCTGTACACGTAAAAGTCTTGTTTTTTTGTGTGGGAGAAAGCTCCTAAATGTACAAGATGCAGAATACCTTGCGTTAATTCAATGAACTATACCAAAAAACTACCATCATGGTTCAACAAATTGTGCAGCTCTCCATATACAGAAAAAGCAAGATATTCAAAACATGCATTTCCACCAAAATGAACCAGCAAAATATGAAAATATATCATATTCAGTCCAAGATCTCAATGTGCTTCAAAATCCGTATCTAAAATAAAGTTAATATCGATAATCAGACTTTTTTTTTTTAAAGTTTGGTTTACTCGAACTGTGAAAAATATAGATTGATGCTAAACTAAACGATTTATAGTATCCACTTAACAACAGGTAAACAGCAGAATATGTTAAATGGCATTCAATAAGCTAATGTTGATTATGAGAGGGTTACAATTTAGAAGGAACATGCCGGTACTTTGACCCAGTGGCGTTACCTGCCTGCGATAAACCTTCCTCCTGTTATTCTCGTCACAGAGAGGATGAGCAGACCTCAGTAGTCTGCACATGCACTGTCCCTGGATCAGTGTTATCAGAAGTGTTAAAATACTGAAGCTCAGGATGGTTTATATGTCCATATCCACGGGTCGGACATCTCCGGTGTTGTTCTCCTTCACCCACAGCTCTCTGTCTCTGCCGGGGTCCACGTTCTGCAGCAGCTTGTCTACCGGTTCCACCGTCTGCAGAGACATGAGCCCATAAAACAGCAGCATTTAGTGTCATCACCTCATGTAAATACTTGAGTTTGTTCATCCAACACTGTGGATCAAAGCCAGAGCTTTCAACAACTACTTGGAATAAAATCAGGTATGTTTTTAAAGGAATATTTTAATTTCAGAAATACCGGTGGCTACACATAGCAAGTTAGATGAGAAAAACAATCATTTTATCTCATCATTTATTTAGACAATATATGTATGGAAACTTCATCAGGATAAACTCTTTTAATGTCATGTGGGGAAAAGCTTTTAGAGGTTTAAAAAGCATTTTGATGCAATAACATTCTTCATCTTTTTGTAGCTTCCCATTAGTATTTATTGTGGGTAGAAATGTGAACCTTTAATGTGTTACAGTAATCAAGTTTTAGTCTCAAAATATACAAAGGGTCTCTGTGATGAGGTTAAATCACTGTTTTTGGTAATGGAGTCTGGTGGCTTTGAAGAGAGCATAGAGAGTGGTTTCCTGTTAGGAAGGGCTGTCTGACAGCGAGGTAAACATTTTGTTTAGGTGTCAAAAAATAATTTTGTGGATGCCTCAGGTCCACATCATTACATTTCTTGTGACATTCATTATTTGATCATTTGTTATTTTCCACCACTGGATACAATTCTGATATCTGCACATTAAATATAAGGCTAATGCAGCAGCGAGCTTAGCATAGCAAACGAAAGAAGAAAAGGTGGAAAGAAGAATTCACAGAACAGTAGTGATGGAGGATGGGGACTTTGGTGACTGATATACTATGATCATTCTGTACCATACAAACACAGCATATTCTGTATTCCTTTTCATTTTTTGCTGGGCAAATATTAGCTCACAGCCTCTCTGTGGCCATCAATGGTTGCATTCACCAGTGTACTATTTTATATTTCGAATATTTTTTGTCTTAGTTATAGTTTGGCAGTCAAATTATTTTCTGTATTTGAGGATTTTTGCCGTTTTCTAGAACTCAATTGGACATCAAAGTTTGTAATATTTTTCATCCATAATTGATCAAATTATCAGCTGAGAAAAATGATGAGCTGCACCAGTGATGTCAACTGGCTTTGACATGATTTCACGTGCCACTTGGTGTGAGAGTGGATGTTTGACAGAAGGCGCCCTGCGGTCCATGTCTCCCCTGTCAGCCTTTCATCTAACACTCTGAGCCTCAGAGAAACCCACCGAGACGCTGTGCTTATCTATTCAGGAGGTGAAGAGTAAACCCTGTAAATCTAGCGAGACGTATTCTGTCAGCACTGCGGGAATAGCACGGGTGATTCTCAGTGTGAAGCTGAAGAGACAAAACCCTCAGAGGTGATACAAACACTATAGATAATAATAATAATAATAATAATTTCAATTTATATAGCGCCTTTCACGAAACCCAAGGACGCTTTACAATGGGAAGTAACAAAACAAAAAGTAATAATAAAGATAGATAGATAAAACTATAGATAAACCTGAATGAACATTTCTTCATAGAGCATACACCCTGATTTTTGTGCTAGTCAGGATGGAAAACAATCTCATATTATGCAAAGGGACTCACACTCTGGTTGAACATGTCCGTCTCGTGCCTCAGAGTGGTGTACTGGCGTAAATGCTGCTGGATCCACTCGATCCGCTCCACCTCCAGCTTCTCCAGCTCCTGAAGAGGAACAACGAATCACATTTAGTAACAGAGGAAAACTGATTACCCTGGTGTTTATTTTAGATTGGATTTATTTCCTTATTGTTTGACCCAGCTGCTGTTAGTGTACAAATAATAATTACAAAAGCAAAAACGTTCCCCCTTCAAATATTCCTTCTTAACGAAACACCTTAATGCTATGCAATAAAAGGTCCATTGTAGATCAAAAACAACAAGTATATTGGGGTCAAAATTACCAGGATTTTGTCTGTTTTATATGAAAAACAAAGATTTTTTTTATTACAATTTTAACATTTACATTTTGGTTATTTGTTTTATTTTTCAAAAAGTAATTCCTAAACTTTTGCCAGTTACCACATTACTGTAAATACAAAGAGCTGAACCAGGTAAACTAACTGTTTGTTTGAATGGAGTCTGGCGGCTTTGAAGAGAGCCACTTGATTTGTACAAAGGCATAAAAAGCATTGTTTTAAACTTCCATTGTAGGTTAAAAACAACAACAGAAAAGTTGATTAAAGTTTCAAATGAGCAGGATTAAGGTGGTTCATTAAGGGGAAAAATATCTCTCATTCTGGGTTTCTAAGTGAATCTAGTAAGGTACATTTTTTAAGATGCAGATTTCTATTCTCTCCAATGGAAGATCTTACCATGCTGGTGGTGACCATTTCCTCAAACCACTTGCACTGTGTTTGGTTGTAGAGATCCACGCAGCGCATCAGGTCGTCTCCTGGAGAACACACACAGAGGTCAGAGGTCAACAGACAGCTGAGAGTCCACAGATATACAACGATCCACATATCATGTTCAACATTTGTATTGTTTTACATACATATGATGTTTCTGGATAAATATTACTGTTGCATTATTGTTAATGTTGCATTTTTCTGCTGTAGATCACAAGTTACAACACATCAAATGGAAATACAGAAGTTCAGTACAGGTACTCCAAATGTGTACTTATGTAAAGTATCTACTGCACATTTCAACAAACATTTTATCATCTTTTTGCTTTCATGTATGTTGTTGTTTTTATGCGTGTGATTATTATTTTAATAAATAGTAGTAGCATTAATAATCAGTGTTACAAATTCAAAACCTTTAAGGACCAGCAGAGGGCACTCAGATTTCACGCTTCATTGATTCAAAGATGAATCATTTTATGTGAACCATTATCATGGCTGTCTTTAAAGTATAAACCAAGCTATAAAGACTAGTGGATTGCTTTTTCACATACCATGTCTCTTAGTTCTTAAAAAAAGAAAACAATATTCCATAACATTTAAGCTCTGTATATCCTGAAACCTGAAGAAGAGATATAAGAACAGGAGCATGCCTGAGGCGTATTAGTATTCTCTCAGTGAAGGTAAACACATCCCTGTGAGGGTGCAGTGATCCGTGATGACATTTGTTACAACCTTGAGGCAGCGGCACTGATCACCAACACAGAGCCGATATGATTTAACTGTAACTGTGGATGCTATTGATTACTGCTGTGGTCTGTGACTAACCTACTGAGATGAGGAGAGAAGGAGGAAATTATACATTCTGATGACGCCTGAGTAGAACAATTACAAAATGGACTCTTCTTATTAAAATGTCAAAGAGTATCTCTGGGACGTGTCTTTGGATGTGCTTGTTGTACTAGTCGCTCCGAATTTAAACCAGTAAAATTATACAAAACAAAATTGCCTTCACATATTTAAATCCATCACATGCAAAGAATGATTAGAGAAGCATCACATCTATTCTGTAAATCGGCAGTAATAAAAAAATCAGCTGTTAGGGATAATTGCACGAGTGCACCGTGCGCTTGTGATTTTGTTCATAAATGTCGCCACATCCAGTTTGCATTGGGTTACCCCAATCGACAATAGATAGGGGCTTCCTACAGCTTAAGGCAAACTAGATGTAAGACTTGAAGACTTTATGAAATGCACTTACTAACATTTGAGAAATCAAATGAAATGTTCTGCTATCCAGAGTCAGGTGATGTTAATGCTACAGACATTTAGCAGATTATTTTTAAACAAAGCAATGTCAACAAAAATAATCACTGAATCATATTTGATCATTTTTAGGACTTTTGAAAGATTGATTTAAAACATATTTATACCAATTAAAACCTTATATTTAGATGAATCCATTCTATGCCTTTAAAGTGGCCCTTTAATGCTCATTTTTAGGTTCATTTAGTGTCATGTCTCCATGCTTTAATGTTCAACAAGCTCTTTATTTTTCTCATACTGCCTGTGCTGCAGCACCTCTTTTCACCCTCTGTCTGAAACCAGAGCCCAGTCTGCTCCGATTGGTTAGCTGGCCGGCTCTGTTGGGATTGGTCAGCCACTAAGAGATGTCCCGCCCCTTAGCCTCACGTACAATGTGTTGGAGCGCTAGCCAACAGAAATGCGAGTGTTACATAGTGATATCACTGTGTTTCGGAGGTAAATAAAGGAGTCCAATTGCATTTCAGGCAGGGGGGGGGGGGGGAGAAAATACACAGCGATTTGCAGACCATGTACATGCATAAAAACCTATATAACACACTACAGGAAAGGGAAAAGCATAATAAGGCCCCTTTAAAGACTTTTAAGGTCTGTAGGATCCCTAGACTAACCAGACACTTTACTAAACAATAATGCTTCAAGATCATTTATTTGACTTTGACTTTGAAATCACAAAGAAACAGATGTTAACAGAGTGCTTGCCTTGTGCCTCAGTGCAGTTATTTGGTGAAAGTTTAAATACTGGGCTCATGGCTTCTGGGACTGGCTCTTATTCAAAGTTTGGACTGTGACTTCTGACCTGCCTGTGTAGATTTCCGCCGAGCCTTCTTGATGTCCTCCTCCGTCTTGTTGCTGATTTTAATCTCCAACTGCTGGGTCTTCACCTCCAGATCTTTCTGCCGGTCTGCCAGAGCTCTACGGGACTACACACACACACACACACACACACACACACACACACACACACACACACACACACACACACACACACACACACACACACACACACACACACACACACACACACACACACACACACACACACACACACACACACACACACACACACACACACACACACACACACACACACACACACACACACACACACACACACACACACACACACACACACACACACACACACACACACACACACACACACACACACACACACACACACAGTGGGATGTGCAAACATACAGTAGAAACAATGAGTCATTCAGCATAATCCTCAGATTTACTGTACATACATGGCAGGAGTCATTAAGGCCTTTTCATGCTTATCATCCCATCCTTTAATCTTTCCTTAATCCGTACCAATGAGCCTTTCCTCCTATTCATTCCTGAGGTGCCCACTGGTGTAACAGTGTTTGAAAAGTAAACATACAGTAACAGTGATGCCAAGAAAATCTGCGGCCGAGCTTCAACCCACTGATGCAGTGAAGCACAGAGCGAGCCAAACGTTTGTTTATGGCTGGAAATGATTTTTATGGCTGGTATTAAGTCCAGTAATTAACTGTAAACACTGAATGGAAATGTCCTGCTTCATGTTTGTGCAAATCAAGAGTTCTTTGCTTATTCTAATATATTGTTTTGTGGCGTTTTATTGGATTAAAAATCTAAAGATTGTTGTAACGCTGCAGCACTTAATATTGATTTGCAATACCGAAAAATGAATAATTAAGTAGATTTAATCAAAACCATTATGCAAATACTCAAACAATAAACATATTATTAAAGTAAAACGGCTGTTACATATTGAGCTTTAATTTCTATCATGTCTCTTTCCCAAATCCAAATGAAATGTGAAAAAGGGAGATTGCTAAATTGAGAAGCCTTGAGTAGTTTCTGGCTATACCCATGTCTAAGAAAATATAACTTAAATAAGTAAATGTGCCAGCAGTAGACTAACTGCATACACTGTATATGTGAAGCAATGCTAACTCAAATACAGAGTGACCTTGCTCCACAGTGTTCTGATCTATTATTTATACATATTTTAAATATCTGCAAAAGAAACCAAACTATAAGTGCTGCACATTTGTCAATATACATGATTCAAATCTTGGAGACGGAAAAGTGTGCGTTAGTACACATCATCCACATAATGACAACATTTATTTCAATGATTGTAGTTGTGGGAGGCAGCATGAAAATACCATTATGTTCCAGGTGTAGGCGGTACTGAAGCTCTTTTATTATGTAAGATGTAGAAAACACTGATGTGCATGTTCTTGTGCAACTAAACAAAACATATTTGGAGATTCACTTTTGGAATGATTGCACCATTTGGACCAAGGAGGGCAAACAGTTTGCAAATACTATCATTTCCATCTGAAAAGCACAGTGCACTGTATCATACTGTATATGTATTTAATAATATGTGAGCACGTGAGACTGCATACCTTCTCCACACTTGCATAGCGACTCGCCAGCTGCTTCCGGAGGTCGGCGATGTGATGGTCGTACTTTTTCAGGTCCTTCTTAAAGTTGTCGCATCTGAACGTCAGCAAGGGCTTTTCTACCTCAGAGTGGAGCTGGGGAAAAAATAAAAAGTCTCTCAGCTGCTGGTTTCATCTTGTTGTGTCATTCGAGGGAAGGCAAATAAATAAAAAAAAACATCACTTTAATCACAGGAGGAAATCTGGAAAACAACTTTTTATAAAACTTGGTAAAAGAGTGTAAAATTGGGCTGAGAAAGGACCCAATCGAATATATAGCGGGTTATATTTCAATATTTCACTAAAGGAAACAGCATGGGGAGGTCTGCACTCTTCAAGTGCATTTCTATTTTGGTTATATTATGACTGGCTCAGGGGGTTAAATGGACTTCTACCAGTCAGGGTCAGTGGTTCGATCCCCAGCACCTGCAGTCAATATTTCAAAGTCTCCTCTGGCAGGACACTTAACCAGGCACGTGTACGGTATTGAAGTGTATGCAAGTCTTATAACAGCTTAACGACCATGTCATTAAGTGCTGTGTTAAGCAAATGATGGTCTATGAGAACAAATACAACACACACCTGTAATTCAATAAAGTCACCTAAATATTATTATTATTATTAGTTTGAAAACATAAATCCATATCCCAAGTACTATTCTAGATTACCTTACAGTAAGACCTGTTTTGCAGATACATCGCTTAGGTATAACTCAGCTCCTTGTCGGAACAATGATTTTCTTTTGATTGGTGGCTACTATTTAAGTACTACTTTTTTGTTACAACTAACTGAACCTTTGCATTGCTTTATTTTTCTCTGACAATTTACACATTTCTTGTTACTGCCTTTTAGTTAATAAAAACCTCTTTGAGACGTTGTCTTGTTCTATTTGCAGCACCTTTGCTGATCAGCAGGTGTTCCAGGTTTGTTTCTGGATCTCATTTTCAAACAGTGACGCCTTTTCCTGGATTACCACAAGAGACAGCCTATTTGTAACACTCTTGTGACTGAACAGACACTCATTAAAATGAACATCTACAACGTCATTACTCTAATAAAGCCTGTTCTACAAATGCACATCTATCACCATAAAGGATATGATTACACGTTTCCATTTCTTCCACCAAGCCCTTATCTTAAAATATGAAAAAGCCAATTTTGAATGACACTTCAATAAACTACATATTGCTTGTCAGCAGTGTTGGCTCTCCTCACAGAATGCTAATCTGCTGCAAATGCCAGAGCCGGAAGATGAAAACGTAGCTTATTAGAGCGCGAGCAGGCTTGATAAGACTTCTCATTCCCTGCCTGACCACGCGTTACCTTCCCCTCACCCATCTCATAATGAAGCAGCGTGTCAGAGCACTGGTGGAGCGTGGGGCTTCACTGCCCTGGGTGGGGGCTCGTCACAACACGTAACTAATTAATCAGACAACAGAGGGCTACTGAAGAGCTGCGAGGCGTTATTTAAGGCTCCATCTGATGCCACGGTGCGGTTTCTGCATGGCTGCTAATCGGAGCGCGGACAGGTCGTTTTCTTCAGTCAGCGCTGACGAGGCTGAGGTAAACGAGCCCAGACACCTCGGGACATGGTCAGATCAAGTGTCCATTACTTCAGATGATTGAAAACATTTAACACCTGACCTGAAGGGGCAGAGAACTGCACACCAAGGGCATCCACACAGAGATGAAGGAGGACTACTGTACATGTGTGTGATTTAGAGAGCTATCAAAGGTTAACTTAAATGTCTAATATGTAAGGTTTCTGCATTTAAATGTCTCAAAATGAGACTATTGTTGTGTATGTTAATGATTTGTGTACATCATCTCAAAACCCAAGTTATCTGAAACATTTCAATCTAGAGAAATCTATAATTTGAATCAAGGTAACGATGCGCTTCATCTCGTATAGAGTATGCATATTTCATAAGCTGTCATATTTCACATTTAATAAAGCCAAATTCTTATAATACATTTTTCAGATCTTAGTCATTTTAATATATATATTTTAACTAACAGTTATTTTTGATTAATTCATTCTAAAAACAATGATGAGTTAAAAAAAATAATGCAAATGTACACATATATTATTTAATATTTAAACTATTTCATGTACTCAGGTAACAGTTATTTATTGTGCGTTTAAGGTGTTATTTACCCTTAAACCTAAAATCGTTATAAACCGATAAATAATTGGTCTAGAAAATGTCAAAAAGGATAGGTAGAAAAGACAATTATTATTTACCAGAGCTGAAGGTGTATTCTTCATATTTCTTGCTTTGTTTGACCATTAATCAGAAACCCCCAAAATTGCAGTCTACTTAAATACTTTAAAAAATGGCTGCAGATTAGAATAACTTTCAATCCATTAATGAATGGTTTCCACGTCTACATGAGATCGATATAAATGCATTGCCTCCTCCATTTTCCTGAGCAGATCTTACCTTGTTGGAGAACTTGAGGTGGACTTCAGCTTCATCATGAAGACTCTTCTTCAGCTGAGTCCACGCCTCTCCCAGAGTCCTGAGGAAACATCAAGTCAAATAAATCCAGTTTATCTACTGACTTTTGGAGTAAATGCTCGGTTTCAGTAAAGCAAATAATCACACAGTTTAGCTATGAACAAAAAAGTATATTTAGCTGTGTTTCCATCGTTTCTCAAGTACTGCACTTAAGTCAAATTGTAGATACTTATACTTCCATCAGTACTTTTATCATGACAGCTTTTACATTAACTACATCACATTTCATTAGGAAACATTGTAGTTTGATCAGTTACTTTTTAGTTTACATGTACAAAAGCTTGTAGTTGGGCCGCCATCTCTAACTCATGAGCTATCCAACGGTTCATATGCAGCGTCCACCAGGTAACAAGGTTTTAACATTTCATGCAATGTCCTCCCTGTATCTCACCATTTCACCACTGTTTCTTTAATAAAGGCACTTTCTGGGCCAAAACAAAACTATGAAGTTTATGAAGCAAGATCCATTATTAAAGTATGGACCATCCAACAAACTCAGAACCTTGACAGCATTACAATTATATTATATGTTTAAAAAAAAAAGAAGGAATGAATCAGACTATTTTTGCTTATTGAGTAGCACAAAGGACATTTGAATTACATTTTGCTTCTACTAAGTAAAACAAAACCGACACCAATGATCCATTGTAAGCATATAGTAGTAGAAAATATCTGACACAATTCTAAAATCTGCCATACAAAAATAAGTCTAAATTGTGATTGTTAAGAAACGCACCTTTTACAACCTCTCTGATTGTCTGACCAGAATACAATCGATATCTAACCTTGGATAAGTTCCTCCATTAGTTTCATTTTTGCGGCCAAAAGAAAACTGTTCTGTATTCGAGGAAACTCCAGAGCTGGAGAGCAACCAAATCACTGCTTCTCCAGCCAAGCCTCATCTTTTTTATCTATGAATTTTGAAAATCTGCTCAAAGATTTCAGTGTCGATTTGCTGACAGAAAACAAAACAAAAAACTTTACTCTTTGATAGCTGAATCAAAAAAGTAGTGTGTGACTAAGTCTATTTTAAAATCTCTATTTTGAGACACAGTTGTGTAATTGCTAAGCCAATTTCCAATAGCCAATTGCTGCAGAGCGAGCGATGGAGAACACCCGGTGGTGTCACAGCTTCTGTTTACAGAACTCACCCTTCATCCTGCGCTGCCAGGGGGCTCAGAGACAGCTTGGAGAGATTCTTGGCGTACTCTTCTTCAATCTTTATCCTGAAACAGAAAGAGTGAGATGGGCTGTGTGGCTCAAGGGAGAACAGAAGCTGCTTCAGTGAGGTATAGTCAAATGCTTTTACGCACTTCATTTCAAAGGTGCATTGCAGCAGAACAACAGAAATCAAGATATACTTTATTTTCTTTGTTTTGAACTCAAATACAAGAATAATAAAAGATAATAAGCAATTACTTTAAAAATGATGAAAAAGGCATAGGCAAAGCTACACGTCCAGCTTTTACATTTATTAGTTTCTACAATTTATTTATATAATAACGTTTTTAAAAAAAAATGTCAAACACATCAAAATACAAAACACAATAACATACATAAGGGAAGTATTAAATGAATAAATACAAATAATAATAGTAAATCTGGCTTTTCTTTTTTCTTTCCAATTTCCTTTGCCTTTTATCCACTTTTGTTTTGCATGAATCTAATTACGTAACATTTGAGAGCCTACTTACTACAATTTGCTGCAAAGGCGGATATCTAGCCATTACCTGTGTTCATGTAAAAATCTGCACTTTCAGAGATTGAAGTTCATATCTTCCCTGAGGGACGTTCAACCAGAGAGTCCATGTTTTTACCCTTTGTGACATTCACTTCCTGCACAGATCTCACATTTACCGTCCACACCTAAAGAAGGTCACGAGGCCCATTCTTTGACTCAATGTTCGGATACTGTGCAGCACCAAGAAACACAGCGAACCAACACAGAAAGGTCAGTGCTGGGCATACATCCTACTGAAGTATTCTGTTGGACTGCATAATCTTAGTGATCCTGCGACCTCATGCAGGGAAGAACAACCCTCATTACCGTCCCACGACTCGGACTAGAGTGTGAATGGAGCTTTACAAGTGGGTGGGGCTAATTATATAGATAGGCGTGAGATCGGATGTAAAAATGTGAACTCCTAATTAGTCACGTTGTTTTTTTAAGCGCTGTTTCAGATTCAGTGGCAGTTCATCTATTCATATTCTGCGTGCCCAGTTGAGTTCTATAGGCCCTTTAACAACAGGGTGCAAGCATTAATTGCTGCTGTAACAAAAACGCTTGGATCCCTTTAACATCCTTATAAATTGTGTGACGGAGCGGATCACAGAGTGACTGACTCCGCCACTGACAACACACACACACACACACACACACACACACACACACACACACACACACACACACACACACACACACACACACACACACACACACACACACACACACACACACACACACACACACACACACACACACACACACACACACACACACACACACACACACACACACACACACACACACACACACACATACACACACACACACACACACACACACACACACACACACACACAGACACACACACTTCCTGCTCTCTTCCGTGAAATGAACCATGCAATTTATTATTTATTTTGCGTTTGTTAATTATGGGGAGTGATTGTGTTAAGAGGTAGTTAACCTGTTTATGTTTGGGTCGGATTTTTATGTTGACAATGTGGTTTTGAGGTAATTGTGTCACCTGTTGACGGTAAGCCTGTGGGAGGGGCTATGGGTTCAAAAGGGACGGTTTTGGCCCTGGAGGAGGTCACTCGGGAGAATATTGCAAGGCAACAGCTGGGACGTGTTCGAGAGATGGTTGCAGAGAAGGCAACACCAGAGCATGTTTACTCTCCATGAGTGATGGACGGCCTGATTTGGTCTTTTATTTTGTTTAAGTTGTGCTGTTTCGCAATGAACTAATAAAAACCAACTGAATATAAATATTTTGATTCAGTGACTCATTCTGTAAATCTTAACTTTCAGTTTCCATAGTTTCACCTCAAGGACAAAAGCATGCAGAGTTACAAATACTGATGGTGATAACGCAGAGATACAATCCTGACAGCTCTATTGAACACCAAGAAGGTGCATTCATTGATTTTCTTTAACAAGAAGTACAGTGAGTGTGCAGGTTGAACATTTACCAGAATTAGAAAAAAATAACAAAAATCCATTAAAATGAAGTCTAAGTTTTGACATTTTACATATTCTTTCTTAAAAAAATCTCAGTATTTCCTAAAACAGCTGGTATGGTTAGTTTAGTTTTCAGCACAAGTGACACAATCTGAAGGGTATTGTATATTTCAATTCATCTTGTGTGTTGTCTTCCATTAAAAAAAGCAGCATTTTGTCAACACATTTCCATTTAAAGAGTAAAGAATATAGCGAAATACTGAAAGAATAATGTTTCATTTCGGTCTCTAATTGTATACAAACTTGTTGTAAACTGACACGTTTTTTGACTGTTCATAACAAGCACATTGAAATTATATGAAAGGGTGCTTTATAAATTGAATTCCTTATTAACATCACAATAATGTTAGTTTTAAGATATAACTGTCAGTTTTGTGGACATTTCTGGACATCCGAGCAGGTTTTCTTTTAAAGTGAGGTACAAGAGTTAAGCCTCTCAGATGTGTGTGTAACAGTGTGAAATGAAACGGTTACCTCTCGTGGATAAACTCGGACATCTCCTTCTGCATCTGTTTGCCCTTCAGCTGCTTCTGCAGAAGGACCTCGAAGCCCGCCACCGAGGTCGTGCCCTGTGGGTCTTTCTTGTCGGTCTGAGGATGAGGAGGAGGAGAGCATCATTCAAAAGCATCAGCGCTACAGAATGACACCTCTGTGTTGTTTATACGTGACTCACACTCGTGTATGTCAAGGAGGACATGCGTTGGTGTGTGTATGCGTCAACCCCCTGATGGATGGACGTGTATTATGTGTGTGTTTCTGAGGGGAGGTGCGGCACTGTGTCATGTCTGTCTGTGACAGGACTGATGAGGAACAGAGGATTTATTTCAAACAGCAAGTCTGAGCAGCAGGTCAGTGGACGCACAACACATGAGACAATGACACAAACAGGGAGCCAAGCAGCCATAAAGACGCAGGAAATAGGCATCGGATTTCACTCAATTCTGCACTCTGAAGGCTTTTTCGATAGAAATCTAATTCTATGGAAGTGTATGGAAAGTGAAAATTACAGCCGCCACTAGGGAGACATTTAGAGCGCAATGATCACTGTGTTTGCAGAGAAGCAGGTCGATCCAACATGAGAGCCAATTGTATTTGTATTTGTTTTCTATTCACATTGTTGTTTTTAGTCGCATAATTTAATGTACGCTTTTAGCAGCACTTTACATTTACCAGCAGAGATTTGTTGGAAAAGGTCAACATAATGTGTTGACAGGAGCCTTCTGGTGCTTTTCTGGTGGGCGGGCAGTGTAATATTCAATAATGTTTTAGAAATATAACACCTGCAATGAATAAACAGACATGATAGTGTACTAAGTTCAGCGTTCTGTTCAAAAACACATACTGCCTCTTAAATGTTTTCATTCATTCATTCTTTAGTTGAAGGAATTGAACAGAGCAGAGAAGGTAGCCAAGAAAGTGATGGTTATAATTAAAGAGTTTTCATCCACTTAAAAAATCTCTGAGGTCCAATCTCATAGTCTTTTGACACTAAAACTATTTAATATTTAACTATATTCACTATAACTTGTTTACTATATTTTGTGCAGACGTTTTGGGAAGTTGGACCAAAGAGAGACACAAAGTGTTTGATAGTAGTGAACATGGGAACATCTGATTTGTTAGTTAGAATTGGTGCCACTGCCTTATGGTTTGGTAAATGGGCGGCGTCTACTTGACTTGGCTTGGGAAACAAGGGTTGCTGGTTCAAGTCTCAGTCGGTTGAAGTAGAGAGTGTTAGTAGCTGAAGACAGTGTTCTATGTAACAGCACCCCTGTTCCTAAAGTACCTCCGACATATCTTCAGCTTTCTGTTGAGCTGCGTCTAGTTAAATATTGATTAACGCGTGCATGCGGATACTTGCAATAAGCTATATATATACTGTATATACTGACCCAGCCAATGTATCATTTAAGGTGTCCTGTATGCACTGCCTGTGCTCACATCTACTTCTTGCTTTTCATAGATTTCAGAAGACAGAGACTATATTTAGTTGTGCCTAACAGGTATACATAAAGTTGGCACATATCTTCACCAAAGTCTCACAGTCCATCATGGTCATACGTTCAGCAGAACTCACCCAGAAGTAGTCGCAGTAGCTCCATTCGTTGGGCTTCAGGAGCTGCTGCTCCGGACTCCCTCCAGGCCGAGGGAACGTCACACAGTTGATCTGAAGCAAAGAGAGGAAACACAGAGATGACAGAGAGCAATGAGGGAGAAGCGTACAGGAGATACTGTAAATAAGAGATCTGTGAGGAGTCAGGAAAAGAAAGAAGGAAATGATGTTTCTAGGAGAAGAAGGTAACATAACTGGGTTTCATTTAGAGTAGGGGTGTCAAACTCAAGGCCTGGGGGCCAAATCCGGCCTGTGACTTCATTTTATGTGGCCCTCAAGAGCTTGCAAAGAATATAATACGTTTATTATACGGTTACATGCCACTTTACAGAATATCTATATATGTTCATTTTAATTAATTTCTTATTTTATAGTTATTTATCTTTTTTTTTTTATCTTTGATTTATCCTTAATTTTATTCATCTGTGTGAATCTGTGCTGCCCTGTTTTTCAATCTCACCGTGTTGCTGTTAAACTACTGCATTTCCCCACGGGGATTAATAAAGGTCCATCTTATCTTATCTTACAGAAGCAGCTTGCCCATAAACTATATTTCCCACAATGCATCTCATGTTGTGACATGCGCACTGAAGAGACTTTCAATTGTTTGCCCTATACTTCTGCTTTCAGACGTAGTTAATTATGAAGTTATTACCCTATCCAATAATAATCCAATGCAAAGGCAATAATATAATATAACACATTATTTCATATATATTATGTATTTATATATGTATATTTATATAGTTACAACCGGCCCTTTGTGGCCCATGATGAAATTGAGTTTGACACCCCTGATTTAGACAGTTACTGACTTTGGACAAATAACTTTTACTTAAATACAGTTCTCAAAGGTACTTGAGTGTTTCCATTTTCTGCTACATCATAATTCTACTTTATTACATTTTGGGAATACGTTCTACTGCAGTACATTTATTTAGCAGACACAGTTACGCTGCTGTAATTTAAACTGATGTCTACAGTATGTGCATGCTGCAGTATGGGTAATGATTTCAATATTTTTTATTATTCAGTATGTTTTAATTTAATCATATTGTCCATTACTTTGAGACTCTATCCCTGGATTTATGTTCATTTTGCCTTCTTTCCCATATTGTTAAGCACCTTTTGAGGCATTTCTTCAATGAAAGGAACTGTTAAATACAGTTTATTGTTATTTTAAGTAAATACAACTTAGTTTGGCTTCATTGCCATGGATCAGATGTTTATATGCTGTTTGAATCCTGAACTAATTAACTCTCAAATCTTTCAATAAAAGCGATGGCGCAGGTATCGGTGCTGTTACTAGAGTATGAGTACTGAGTCCACCAGTGCATTTGGATCATGCAGATGAGAGGAAAAAGGTCAGGCGTGGACAAACAAACATATGTTGGCCATCCAGAGGGTGAGTTTTACAGGCTTCAGGGAGAGAAACCTGTCATCTCCAAAGAACAAAATGTGTGGCGCTGCAGATAAACACCCCCAGCACTCAGCCTGAATACAGACTCCATGGGCCGCAGCGTCTTCAATTACTCCTGGGGCTGCAATTATGTAATGTTCACCATCTGTGAGCCCTCCCTCCTGGCACGGCAAGAAAACCCTCTGTGCCATGTGAGCCGCTGCAAACTACACAGGCATCCAGACAGGATGCTCCATCCGGCACAGAACAGAAACACACTGAGTCACAGTGCTCACCACATGAGCTCACCGCTGTGCTTCTCACACACTGAAGACAAACACGCGGCGTTCAGCAGCTGCCTCAAATGAACTGCTTCGTCCGGCTTCTCTTGCCAATGGAAAGGTGTGACAGAGATAGATTGAATTGTGGAAAACAACCCTGTCAGGATGTTTAACAGATTATGCTTTGTGTGCTGCTTTACCAAAAATAATAAAGGGAAGCAGGAGACTGAAGAAGAGAGGCAGGTTTGTAGTATGGATTTGTGAAGAGAGAAACTAGAGTCAGTAACACACAGGTATGAAACTATTGGCTTTTTGAGCAGCATTTTACACACAGTGTAACATTATCTGGATTCCCGCTGTCATCCACACGTTTCTGTCCTTATCTGAAAATCCAATATCTAACACTTACTCTCTTATAATAGTCACTCTTGTATCCTTGTGTTGCTTGTTGCTGGGCAGGTCCAGTGTTGGGCAAGTTACTTTTAAAAAGTAACTAGTAATAGTTATAGTTACTGCTCTCAAAAAGGGCTAGTAACGTTATTAGCTGTACAAGCAACGCTGTTTTGACTGGGATGTCTTCCTACAATGATACGTGTTTAAGTTGATAGAGGAAAAAAACTCCTTACCCATTATTAAACTTAGCCAAGACTTAGCCCCCGTGCCTGAAACACCTCCATTGGACTATTTTGTTTACTTCTGTAACATAGTGACATCACTATGTAACACTCGTGCTTCTTTTGGCTAGCACTCCAACAGATTGTTCTTGATTTGCTAAGGGACGGGACATCTCTAAGCGGGTCAGCGAGCTAACCAATCAGAGCAGACTGGGCTCTGGTTTCAGACAGAGGGTGAAAAGAGGTGCTGCAGCACAGGCAGTATGAGAAAAATAAAGAGCTTTTTGAACATAAAAAGCACGTAAACGTTTCACATTAGAGGCATACAATGCAAATATGAAACTGATAATGAACAG